AACTGGGGAGGGGAGATGAACCCTTGTGCCGTGCTCGTGGCAAACGCTCCTCACCGCAGCCACGGCGAGGAAGAGCTCCCAACCGCCGCGTCCCAACACCTGCCCGTCCCACTAAGAGGTCCCCTCTCCTCCAGGGCGAGTTATCCGCACCCATTTCTCCTGGAAGCACCATCACACGCAAGTCGTGGGCACGATACCCAAACCCCAAGTGGGATCTGCCCCGAGGAACAGCCCACGCATCCCAGCGCTGCAGGTGAGCTCACCTCGATGCCAAAATACTGGTGCCCTTTGCCCAGAACAGCATCTACGTACTCCAGGACCAGATCCACAGCCTCCTCCAGCAGATCGTAATTCAGATAGAGACGCAGCAGCTCGGCAGCATCCACTTTCTACGAGCAGAGAGGGAAACGTCAAGCCCAGGGAACGCTGCTGGGAGCCACCGCAATGCCGAGAGGAACCTGCTCCGAGGCTCAGCAACAGGCACAAAGCATCCGGCATGAGTTCCCGGAGCTGGGAAGGGGAAGGTGGGGCAAAGCTTGCAACGAGGAGGTGCCCGGCGAAGCGAAGGTGATCCGGCAGCCCTGGGACAGCTGGGGGTTTTTTTTTTGGCCAGCAGGCAGTACGCGCTGAGCGGTCACCCTCTCCCCGTTCCCACCTTGTAGCTGTTGATGAGCCAGTTGGGCAGAGGTATCCCGTGTGCCAAGAGCTTGTTGATGACGCAACGATGGTACAGGCTGTTCTGGGACGGGTAATGCTCCAAATAGGACGACAGCAACCGCCAGGCTTCATCTGTGGCGCTGCAAGGCAATATTTCCCCTTGGAACCCGTGCCAGCAGCCCCTGCTGCTGTCTGCCAGGCCACAGCGTGCTCCAGGGAACCCGTCCCACCGCCCGGGTTCAATGCGTGTGCTCGAGGCCCAGCAAAGCGGGGTGTGCTGCGTACAGCAGGCTGGGGACAGCGCGGTGACAGCACGGAAGCACGGCTCTCCCCATGTCCCAGTCCTGCAGGTTTGTTTTAAGGGGTTTTTATGAACCTCCGGATTCCTGCAAGGCTTTTTGTCTCTGGAAATGATCCACCCTCGTAAAGAGCGGCTCTGCTCTTCTCCCCCACGGACAAGGACCCACCTGGACTCCTTGGTGGTAACCAGCGCCGAGAGCTGGTTCGCTGCCAGCCAGCCCCAGGCCTCCGCCTGCGCCGCCTCCCCTCCCAGCTGCAGCTTGATGCACCTGGAAGACAGAGCAGCACAAAGATGGGTGCTGTCAGAGCCCGGCCCTTTCACCCTGCCTTGCCACGGCTGCCAGCATCAAAGCCAGCCCTTGCAGGTCTATTCCCAAGCAACAGCAACGAATTAGCTGGCTTGGCAGGAAGAGAAGGCTATTACAGTGATTTCTAAGCTGCCCTAAGAGCTGGAGAGGAATTAATAACGACTCTGATGTTAGCAAGCTTGGGTAAGAGATGCCCTCTGTGCATCCAAGCCGCAGGAACAGGTTGCAGCAGAGCTCCTGAACAACTCTGCAGGCACAGTGCGTCTTCTGGAGACACAGAGAGGCCAAGGAGAAGAGGAATCCTGGGGTCAGAGATGAGCCATGAGAGCACAGAAGCCAGACAGAAGAGCAAGTGCTCTTTGAGAGCCACTCAGGCTCTCAGATGCCAGCTCTCTCCCCCGAGGTCACGGGGAAATCTCTCCCCTCCATGACCTGCTCAGCAAGGCTCCCTTATTTTTCTTTTTCAGGTCTGAAGAGCAAGTTCCACCCTCAAAACCACAAAGCCAGCTGCTGCTGAGGCTGTACGCAGCGTTAACAGCCATGGCGAGCAGACAGGTCAGGACAGTGCTGGCTTCTGACCCTGGGGAACTGCGAGCTGTGCCCTGCCAAGCGTCACGCAGCGCACGTCTCTCCAGCCACGCGTTACCCGAGGCAGGGAGGAGAAGCTCGCCACCTACTTGAAAGTGAGTCCCTCAAAGATGGGCGTCAAGGGCAGCTTGAACGTTTGGCACAGAGTGACGGCGGTGTCGAAGAGGCCAGCCCGGACCAGGAGAGCAAGCGTTTCCTCGGGCGTAGAGTTGCCTGCAGGGAAGGAGGACCAGGTAAGCGCCTCTCCCAGTCTCACTCCAGTGCTTACTGGGGCCTAACCCTGCACAATTCAGAGAGAATGACTTCTCTTCACCGACCCATGGAGTTGTCCCTGATCATGCACCAGCTGGGGAGGGGACACAGGCAGGAACATACGGCCCGTAGCCAAATGCTGCCGCTGTTTAGGTGAGTAGGGAGGGGACAGCATTGCTGCTGGCACAGCAGGCCTGTATCCAAGTGAACAAGGCATCAGCTCAGCTCCGCCAGTGCAGGCAGGAGGGGCAGCGGCAGGAGGTGAGATGAAACTGTGGCACTCGGCTCCCTGCATCTCCAGTTTGCCCTCAAACCAGCTGTTCAATCCTTTCCCTGCAATCCCTTACTGGGAAGTCATCTCCTCCTGGTACTTAAAGGAGGAAAATGTGTACGTGTTGCATAACTCGTGTCAGAGAGCAGCAGAACATTCTTAAAGGGTCAGGGTGGGGGAGTCGCAGCTTTCTGCTCCCCAGCGAGGAACAACTTTGACAAGCTAACACCGTGTCGTGAAGCAGGATTGCCCAGGACAATAATTTACGTCTCGCAGCAAGTGTTTTGTTTTAGAGCTTTCTAATTCTACTTCATCTGGGGGCAATTTCCAGCAAGATTTCACGCTGTGGAGGCGAATTGAATGGTCCCTGCCAGCTCCTGGCTTTGTCTCTGGGTCAGAACAAAATTGCTGCTTCCTCAGCGGAGCTACAACTGAAAGTGCTGTAACTAGCACAAACCTCAAGGGAAGCGAGAGGTGGCCACGCCGCATCCCTCTTACCTGCCACAGCCGCTGTTGACAGGTCATGCTGTACCAGAGTCAGCCGGATCCGGGCCAACACACACTCCCTCTCCAAATCCTCCAGCTCCAGGATCTCGATTTGGTGAGTTGCTGCGAGGGATGGACACGAAGGGCTCTCAGCATTTTAAAAAGGGCTCCTGGGGCACCGTGCAAAATGTCTACACCCCTCTGCCATCCTAAAAGGAGTCGTACCACAGAAAGCACCAAAGGAGGGGTCAGGTTTTGCTGCCCCTTCCTTGCTACCTTGAACCGTGCCTATCTCCTTGAGACAAACCTTCCATTCCTCCTCCATTAGAGATGTTCCCTAATGTTTGGTAACAGCTGCTGCTGTGACCGCCAAGCACATGCTACAAAAGAGCTCATTCAGAAATAACTGTTTTAAAAATAAATGCCTGACCTTATATTTTTCTACCATCATGCTGAGGATTACGAGTCTAAGCTGACCCCACCATCCGGTGCTTTGGTAGACACAGAGCGGAGACGTTACCAGCACAGACTCACTATGTCAGCAGGGTTTCCAAGAGCACAAACAAAAGTCATGAACAACTAGAAATTGCCTCACAAAGGCTTTTTTTTTTTTTAATTACAAGTTATTTCCACTGAAAGCAAAAGCGCTGACAAGACATCAAACTGCAGAGGAGTGCGCGCATATCGCAACTGAAAGACACTAACACCGGAAGAGTTAACTAGCTTAAAATCCCCCCAATTATTGATCTGACGGAGGTGAGAGCTGCCCTGAGCCATCTCCCGGCTCACATGGGAGCAGCAGAGCTCCGAGGCCGGGGGAAAGGCTGTGGGGACACAACAGTCGGAGGAAGCACCAGGACCGGGCACTTACTTGGAACAGCCGTGCACTCCCCGTCGTGGCTTCTCTTCGGCGATGCTCCAGGGCGTTCATACTTTCAGGAAAAAGCAGAAAGAGGGTTTATGCCCACCTGGTTTCCAAAAAAACCCAAAAACCCGACACAGCCCCAGCTCTCCATTTCAAGCCTTGATTTGAATCAGAAAAGCCATACCACCACTTGGCAGGTCAGGTTACATTTATCTCTGGCTATCAGAAACACAGCACAGCATTAGCTGATCAGGCTACGGTCACCACCTCCCCGCAAACAGATGTGAAACACAAACCACGTTACAGTAATTCTCTTTTTGACTGGTATTCTGGCTGTTCAGATTCCCCACAAAGATTTGCTCTGTCTTCAACAAAACCCGATATATTCCCACATACATACGCCAGCCCCCTCCTGAAATTTGTCCTGCTTCCATCCTGCTCCAAAAAGGGGCAACGACACGAGGGCGAGGGATAGGACCGATGTCGGAAAGGATTTTGGAAGCTCCTTCCCTAACGCACAGCTGTAAGCGTCCCCCCCGAGTCAGTAGCTCAGGTCAGAGGCTCCGTAGCAAGCTCAGCATTTCCTACCACAGCTCCAGAAGCTGGCTGCACTATCCAGGCATACTCCGGGCGGATCAACCGTAAGCAGTTAATAGCGGCGAGGAAACAGTTTCCCTGTTTCTGGAGCCCTCGGAGCGTCCGCACCTCCCTGCCCAGGCGCATGCCGTATTCGAACATCACTGTTCCAGCTGAGGGAAAGGGAATAATACATCAGCCAAGACCCAGGACAGGCCACCCCGCAGGGATAGGGCAAGCAGTGTCCCAGGCAGGCAGGCTGTTACGCTACAACGTGCCCACGCCGAGCTTTACCCTTGCGGTAGTTGTGGCGGTAGATGTGGAAAGCGTACAGGAGCTCGTAGTAATTGTGGGTCATCAGGTCCACCGCTCGAGCATGAGATTCGATGATCCCCACGACCTGCGGCACACAGAGGCTCAAATGGGTTGAAAATCCCTTTAGAGAGAGCAGTTGTGCCTCCCATCCTCCCAGCACAGGCCGATTACCTCGTTATGGAGGTTCACGTAGGGGAACTCCACCAGGTCCTGGAGCTGGGAACGCTCGCAGAGAACCACCACTAGCTGGCGCAGACAGTCCAGCTGCCTGCGGAGAGAGAAGCTCATTCTGGAGCAGCGGGAACAAACCCATCTCCAGGGTGCAGGCTTTAAGACATGAACACGTGACAAGCTCCACAGCAGGTTTTTTTCTGGCTTAGAACCAAGAAGTCCCTTCGGACTTCTCCTGTGCTGGAAACAAAGGTCCTGGACAGCAGAGATCCTCCTCTCTGCAAGGGTCTCTCAGGAGGGCAGTCTCCCTCCCTCAACCCTATTGGGTAAGATTTTCTTCAGCCTCAATTAAAACACATTCCTCCTTCTCCTTTGAGCGTCCATTCCAGCCGTTCCTGCTCATCACATCCTCCTCTGCTAGGGTGAAGCTTCCTCTGCCCAGATCACTTCCCAGAAGGTACTCAAACTGAAATTCAACCCCAAGTCTTTATTAAACTAAACTGACTGGACTCCTAAAGCTTCGCAAAATACAACACCGCGTGCAATTCTGCAGCCATTTTTTTGGCTCTTCCCTGAATCAGCTTCATTTCCTTCCCACCGTTTCCTCTTTGGAGGTAGTGCTGATCCCAACTGTTCTTACAAAAAATGAAGTGTGCCTTTTGAAACACACCTTCACACAAGCTAAACCAGAACCTCTTAACACAGCAGCCATGTCCTACCCTAAAGGGCAATTTTCTTTTCCGTTTGATGGTACGTGGACCTCTGAGACAAGCGAGCATAAAGGCATAAAACTGTCACCTACCTGCTTGGATCTGGGTTTTGCGTTAAGGCTACATATGCTTCATTGTTGTGTCCCAAATCCAAATGATGTTTGAAGATGCACGTCCTCAAAGTAGCCTGAAAACACCAAAGAGCACAAACCAGCATGTTTTGAGTTATACATCTAAAAAACAAAGTCCCATCTAAGCTCCCTGAAGAAACATCTTGATGGAAAAGGAGCGACCTGTACCTGGCTTCTCCAGTCATCTGCCGATTCCATGATAGCCAGAGTAGCCAGCTGGATGACCAGCTCCGGTAAACCAACCATGTCCAACAAGCGCAGAACCTGGAGAAGACAATACTCTAGCACTGGCTGCAGCAGTGCTGAAGAACGGGTCGGGTTGGTGAGGGGTTTTTGTTTGTTTGTTTTTAAGAGCTACTCCTGCCCGTGCTAAGCAGAAGAGCAGTCAAACGATTTTGCTGATGTTTCTAAGCAATTAGACATTTTAAAAAGGAAAGATTTTGGTAAGTCGCAGAGATCTGAATCAGATCCCAGCACAACAGGTCCAGGCTACGGCTTTTCTGGAGGATTCATCTCTGCACATGTGTTTTCTGAAACATTTTAGCATTGACAGTTACAGTAAACCCCTGCCACAGAGATCCTGTCCTCAAGCACGCACGCAGCTGTATTAGAGAGAGAGAAGTTCCCTCTCCAAGGGCACCTGACAATCCTTCTGTTTTCTGCATTTTCAAATCAGGGAATCTCTTACAATAAACTGTGGTCCAAGCTTGCAGCTTGTCCAAACTATGATATTATGCAAGCAGAAAGATCCTATCTCGATTTAAAGACATTAATTTTAATTTGCCTCAAAGCTTAATAACCTTCCCCTTAAGCAGCATCTTACATCTAGCCTGGACATGTCTGGCTTCTGCCTCCAGCGGCTGGATACCACCCTGCCTTTTTCTGCTGGATAACGAAGTCCTCTGCTATTAGGAGACTAATAGGTGGAAAGTACCTAGCTGTCACACTCTAGTCACCTCATCATCACCCCCGCAAAGAAAGTAAACAGACTACACTGAGGTTTCACCTCCCCAAAACCAGTATGTTTCCTGAGTCTCAAAGTCAGGGACCAAGCGGGAATTCTCTCTCCAAGCAGTGTCTGCATGGAATGATTTGGTGCCAATTTACTTGGTCAGGACCACGTACGCTGGGGCAGCTCAGCCCTACCTTGTTGTAGTACTGCAGGCGCGGAGTGGAGACCATCTCACCCTCCTCAGGTTGGATCAGCCTGTCCAAGAACTCTTCTCTTCCTACCTCTGACGCAGCTTGGCAGAAACAGTCCAAAGCCTAGAAGCAGACCAGAAAACAGTTTCTGTGTGCCCCTTGGGGGATCGATCCAGCCTGCTGTACTGGTGAGAGGATAGCACCGCTCATTCCAGCTCCAGTGTGTGAGACCTGCTGGCCCCAAACTAACGAGAACTTCCCCAAGGACAGATCCCACCGTCCCCCTCCAATCCCATTTTTTGCCCGAAGGAGGCAGAGCTCGAGATGGATGTTTCCCGTCCTATACAGCAGAAACAAGGCTGGCCCTGCCCGTGCACTTCCACCTTCCCAAGGAAAAACATCCCAGATCCCAGAGGGAGGCAGTGCCAGGAGATGAGGGCCTTACCTTGTGCCCCTCACCCATGACGAGGTAGCACTGGCCCATCATGAAGCAGCAGGAGCCCATGTTCACGTGGCACCACGGCTGCAGCAGGCGAATGTATTCCTACAGGAGAGGAGGAACCGGAGTGTCAATTCAGGTCAGCACTCGCTTGTGACCTGCAGGCACCCAGTAGCACAGGAAAGGTTAGGTCTCTAACACTAAAGCGCTGTTTTGGTGGCCCTTTTAGCTGCAGTGCTCACAAAATTTCCCACTCTTCCAGCTTGAAGGCTGGTCTCCCCAGCCCCATGTCCTCTTGGTGCACAGATGGAGAGACATCCCCCCCCATGCTCCCGGGAAACAACCTGCTCTGAATAGCTCCAGTATCCGTAAGAAGTGCCTCAGAAACAGCACCCAACATCCCCCAAAATCAGACACGATGCTCTCTACAACCGCTGCAAACCTGAAGTAAGGAACCACAAAGGAAAGGTTACTCTGGCATGCACAGAGCCTGACCAGGAGCGCGCGTGTGTGAAGGCAGCGGGAGAAGAGGCACAGCAGGCATTAGAAAAGCAGCAGCAGGGCAGGAGAGGGAGAGCAGCCAAGGAAGACCATGGATTACAGCAACAAAGTGACAGGCATGGGGTGGAGCACTGATGGCACCAAGGACACAGGGCAAATAAAGCCACAACACAGATGCTGGCCAGGGCGAGAGGACACAACCTGGCCCCGTGCCTGCTCTGTCAGGATAATATAAGGGCTGCAAAGTGTCATCACCTATCAAGATGCGCCTAGGAGGCACGATGAAAACTCAAAAGCTGGCATCCCTCGTGCCTGGGAGAGTGGCGTATGCTCTTCATACTCGGAGAAGCAGAGATGTCCCACTAGCAGGGCTCTGGGACTAAGCAGGAAAGGAGGCGTAGAAGCCAGGACCTGGCGGTAAAGCCAAGGTCTCACCGGCCAACCTGCACCTTTGTGTGTGCGTAACCACACCAGCACACATGCCTCACCTACCCCAGCCACGGGTCCACTAAAAGCCACGTGGCGAGTCCTCTGAGCCCGGATTCACCACACAGATTAGCCAGCTACAACAGATAAATCCCCACTCCAGGCTTGCTCAACAGCTTGTCACACAGAAAAAGCAACAAGGAGAGGTTTGGCCCTCATCCCAGGCCAGTGCTTTGGTCACTAGACCTTCTCTGTGCCTGCCTGTTACTCGCAGGGTGCTTCCTGTATCTTCACCTCTATTTGGGTCACCGTGCTCACGCTCGCAGCAAATCTGGTGTTAGCTCCCTGAGGTCAATGCACTTAATCCAAGTTTACGTGACCGACTGGGATCAGTAAGCGTAACAGAAGGTAGCGGGGAGGAGGAAGAGCCCATTCCTGCAGAGATAAAAGTCTCTTGTATCTCCTCGAGGCGGGACACAAGCGAGGCGAAAGCAATGCAAGGAAATTCAAAGCGTGCTCGCGCCACGAGAGTGCACATATGCCAGGAGGCAGAACGATGCTGCCCAAAACCATCCTGGCATTTCCTGGCTCAAAAGCTCTGCAGATTTGACATTCTTCTCAGCAGCAACATGAGCACAAAAGAAGGCAATTCAGCCCCCAGGTGTAAGTGACTGTGAGAATAAAAGCTTCTGCTAAGCACAGAAAAAAACCCATGTCACTAATAACGGCCTGCCTAGCCCTGCATGCCTCGAGGAACAACATCAGCTGGGGAATGAAATGCATCACATGGCGCTGCAGACAAGAAATCGTGCAGTTCAGAACTGGAGCACAAGCAGCTACAACTACCAAGCCCCTGAAGAGCACGGGAAGAGACGATGGAGAAACAGTGGTCTGAAATACAGCAGTCTACAGAGACACCTGACAAAAAGTAGTTCACTCGCCCTGCTACCAGGATGCTGGGAGCGCAGCCGGGGAGGGAAAGATGACGGATGTTCCTTACACCTTTTTTTTTTTTTACTAGTAAAGACGTTTAAGAAATAGATGAGCCCTCCTGAAATGGTATGTCTGCTGCTGGGTTGAAGACAGCCTTCTGAACCCCCAGTTCCGCGGGCAATCTGTTTGCAACGGCCCCGCGGAAAAGGCTACGGGTGCATCAGCTAACAAGCTACCGCATTACGGGCTTGCTGTGATATTTAAACAAGCTCCGCAAAGACGTTTCTTGCGCGCAGTATCACGCTGTCAGACGAGCCCTGAGAGACTGAACTCCTCCATGAAAAGGGTATATAATAATCCTGAGCACTTATGCCTGGATTTTCTCGAAAACAGATACGAGGAAATGTGTAAGACTGCCGTCTTGAATCATGCCTCAACAAACTCTCTGTGGCATTTTCTAGGTAGGAGATATTTAGCAAAAAGCCCTTCTGTTAGCAAAGGTCGAGGCGGACACTCATGGAACGAGAGGGATGCAAGGGGAAGATGGAAGATATTTGCTACCTTACAGTTTGTTCACTGTGCTGACACTGCAATAATTACAGGAGAGATTTCTAACAATTCTCCAAAAGAATCGTTCCTTTCAGTCCCTTTCATCTGCAGGACAAACTTCCAGCCTATCATCTCCAAAAGGGAGACGTGGGAGCAGAGCACGCTTGGGGAGATTAGCTCACGTCTGAGCTCAGAGAGCAGCGACTAGGGGAAAGCAGAACAAACTCCACCTGGAAAGATGATTTTTTGGGTAGCTTTTTCTAAGCAAAGGTAAGGCGGTTGCACACGGAGCTCACCTTGCGTTACACCTCTGCATCGGCCAAATCACAGACCTGCACCCACATGTGGAAAGAGACTATTGCACTCGCTCTTGCTCTTCCCCTTTCAGCTCCTGCGAGAGAGCCGGCGCGAAGCACTCACCTGCAGTTGGGTGTACTGACAGCTCCCCATCAGGCACTCGGGGAAGAGGAAGCCAGGATTGCTGGGCCATCTGAGCAGAGGTTAAGGAACAGAGGACAATCCAGTCCGGAGAGCTCGGAGAACTAGTCTGAAACTCCGCACACCTCTGGTGCTCACTTTGTGGGGGGAAACGAGAGAAGATTAAGCTGCTCTTTATACAAGTCATTATTCTGTAATAAGATTTATCCATATTAGAACAAAACCATTAGTACATCTAATCCACAACTGCCCGAATCTCGTTACCCTTCCAAATCTGCCAGCATCACACCTCGCCAAGTCAAGTTGCTAGAGCTCAGGGGCTTAAAGTAAAAAACTCAAATCCCTTACTGTGCACCTAAACAGGATGGATTCTGTGAAATCTTAAAATACTCACAAATCCCATTAACACTAACAACAGTCACTTGTTCAGGAGACTTGTCTTCAAAATTTGGGTATGGAAGACATTGATTTTGGAACCGTACAAGGCTCGGTGGTGGAAATGCACACCGCAGCCCACCACCCAAACCCCTCTGCTAACCTCAGCCCTCCTCCCGCAGTCCCACCGACGCTCCCAGCCTCACCGCTGGGACACGACACGCAGCCTCCGTGCGATCTTGCACGACTTGCCCAGGGGCTCTGGCACTGCCTTGCTGCACAAAAACTTCCCCTTGGTTACAGCCGAGCGAGTGGTTTTACGGCCAAGGATACAGGAGCGGCAGAAAGTCAGCCACTATTGCGGTAATGAGATGGGGCCAGTTCAAACTTGTTTCAGCCAAAGAGGTGTTCGGTTGCAAGAAGAGTCGAGATATGATGTGCTTTCTGGCCACTTCCTGAAAGAACAGCTCCACAATTGTTTGAGGGCCGGATACTAAAAAATACAAGTTAAAGAAACACTGAGAAGAGGGCCTGCAGCAGAGATCCCAGGCTTTCTACACCGTGCTGTGCTCATCAGCCCAAACGTCGGGGATTAAGTCAGAGCGAAACAATAAGCACGTTCAATACTCGAACTTGTTGGTTTTGGATTTCTCTTGCTGTCTGGTTAAGTCAGAGGGAGTAGCAGGAGATCAAAGAGCCACATACTACAATGTTTATTAACTGCAACTCAATTAGACCACAAAAAATAAAGGGCCGCGCTCTCTCTCTAGCTGTGCTATTCACAACCCACCCGCAGCTTTCCAGTACGACCGAGTGTTTTGCAGGGCAGGGCTGAGGGAGTGCTGATTTGGCTATCTGGCTCTGCTCAAATGCCTCCCTCCATCATTCCAGCACCCTAAGCACTCCAATCTCCCATTAGCTAACTGTTCTAACGCCTCTCCCCAAGCTGCCACCTCCTTTCTATCTTCCCCACGTTTCACATATTTTTCCTGAAGCACAGCGGCCAAACAGGACTTTCCTCATGAGCGGGCCAAGAAATAACCCACGACACTGGCACACACAAAGGATGTTTTCAATTTCGCTTTCATGCACTGACATTTACGTGGAGGGAACTGCCTCCTGAACCGAGACTTTCATTCAGGGAGAGTTCAGACTCTGAAGATCGCAGCCCGCTTACAAAGAGCACAGATGCCCCAGGCCTGACAGCAAGCAAAGGAAATTCTTCCCCAGCTCGCAGCCCTTCACACGTGGCACTGCTGCCTGTTTGTCACGGATTTTCTCAGCTCCCTCTGAAGCGTCTCAGCCTTGAAGTGCCACGCAGACTAGTCATAGCAGGCTCTTACCTGCACATTTTCTCCCCTACCCTGCTCAACACCTCCCTCTGTAACCACTTCAAGGTACGCATCCTCCTAATTATGTTGCCTTATGTCCTCCCACATTAGGATCTCTCCCCCAAGACAGTAACCCAAAGCATACGTCTTTGCAGCGAGACTTTTAAAACATGAACCAATTATCAGCTGCAATTTCCCCCTCGAGACACTGGCTGTGAGCAACACTCAGGTCTGAACTGCAAAGTGTTGGAAGCACAAGTGTGTTTTGGGGAAGTATTTCTACATTCTCTCGCTTCCTCGAGCTGCTGCTCCTGCTCGCTGTGGAATAAAGGCTAACGAGCAGGGCAGACCTGGTCTGACCCAGTACAGCCACCACAATGTGCAGGAGCAAGAGATGAACTTGGCTGATCTTGCTGGGGCCAGAATTAATAACGTCTGGCTGAGCAAGGCCTTCCCATCCTTCTCAGGCTGAGAATAAGATCCACATCTCTGGTCCAAGTCCAATGCTACAAGATACTTTGTTGTTGTTGTTTTTTGGTGGACAGCGTGATAAACATCTCCGCTTAAAGCAGGGTCATTCAATCAGACACTCCATTAACTCACTGCATAAAGCATTTCCCTTGGGTGGCAGAGACACAGAGTGTAAGAGGTATAAATAACAGAAACCGAGAGCTGATGAACTGCGGACACCTTACCTAGTCTATGGGGTGTTAGAGCAGTGGTGTCTGCTAACTCCAACACAGAGAGATGCTGCAGATTAGATTCCCTAGAGAAGAAAAAGCCATCAGTGAAGAGACAACAAAACGCCTCCTGCTTTAATTGTGCTCATTGTTCAACTCAAGTGACTCCTACTGCTGAAAAAGGCAACAGCGCACAGAACAGCGAGACCTCACACGGCAGAATTAGCACAAGGCAAAGAGTCAGCTCAAAGCATGGAAGGAAAAAAAAAAAAAAAAAGCCACCCTCCCCAGCACAACCTGACCCCTAGAGTGATAGTCCCACTGCAACCACCAGCTTTTCATACCAGGAAGGGCATTTCAGGTGGATTTAGCAGGAACCTACAATCATTCAAAGTCAGAATGGGCAGAGTAGAGACTTACAGCGTGTCGACAGGGACGTCTGACGCCAAGCGCTGGCTCGCCCACCTGATCAGGTAGTAGGACAGCAGCAGGGGAGAGGTGCGGTGCAGCAGGTCCTGCTGAGACTGGAACAGCTGTCCCCCTCCCAAAACCACCTGCAAGCAAACCACAGGGGCTGACACACCGAGAGGCTGAGCGATGGCAGGACAAGGACAATCGGTGAGGTCTCTATCAGGCCCAGCTCGTCCCTCCTGCCAATGCCAAGGTGGGGAGTAGCCCAGCAGTTAACTCAACCCACCCAGAAGACCAGCAGGACTCTTGCACGTGCCAGAATAACCCAGGCACAAATTACAGCGTTGCCTCAGGACCAAGGGCTGAGTTAGCTGTTCTGGTGGCCCGGACCCCACGGGGAAAGTTTAACAAACAAAACTATGTGCGCTCTGAGCGTTTCTCTAGCCCACTAACACCAGCACCTCCAAAAAGGTGCTTTGCGCTGCTGCAAGAACAGCACTGAGAGTGAAATCGCGGCTCTGCCACGTCGCGGCCCGGTCCTGCTGCCCAGGCATTGCATCTCTGCACGCTCCAGCCAAGAGCGGCACGGCTAGGTGACACGGGAAGAAAAGCAACCTGTGCTTGTGAAGGACACAAGCGCGTCGAGGTGGCAAAGCAGCAGTTCGTCGTCAAGCAAGCAGCAGGTCACATGCCTTGAGAGAGCCTGGCTCCAGAAGGGCACCTTGCAACGGGCTTTAAATGCTCCCAGGGCAACTTTATCCAGGAAGAAGGGGATTTATTTTCAACCAAGCAACTACTGCAGCATTGTTTCCAGGTAAATAATGTTGGTTTAAACAACTCTCCTCTTGTCTGGGGGGCCTGTGCCACTCCCCTGCGTCCACCCAAACCATCAGCACCATCGCTCGTGCGGCCATGCAGCCAACGGGACAGACCCAGCCCAGCCCCATGACCACACACACAGCTGCCATCACAGCGGCTGTTTGCACTGGCTGGAGCAGCCTTGCAGAGGCTGAAACCACGGCCTTTGGGTAAACACCGCTGCTGTGACGCAAAGGTGCTGCGCTGCCAGAGAACAAGGCTGCAATCATTTGCATGCCAGGCTGCACGGTGGTGTGGGAGGGATGGGGAATAGACGGGAGAACTGTACGTGCTTAGGCAGCGCCGTTTCAGACAGGAGGCTGGAAATGATGCCCTCCTCCCGCAAAGAGGGTTTTGTTTCCTGCTTCCTCAATGCTCTGCGTGGAAAGAGGGAGTTAGGGTGTGAGCACAGCGCACCACTGCTTTGCTTAGAACGACAAAAGCGGCTGGAGGAGAGAACAGGGCTTGTCCAAGACTTGGGCTAGTTCAAACAGCCTCCAGTGTTTTATGGGAAGAGACAGAGCTCACAGTCTGGCACCAGCAGAACCCCAGATCCAAAAGTTCAAAGAGCGCAGCAGTAGCTTCAAGGGCTGTACTCACAGGATCTCCAAGCCGCAGCAACAGCTGTTGGAGGATCAACAGGTCCCGACAGATCAGGAAACGGATCGTGGCAATCTTACACACCCCCCAGCAAACCACGTTGACAGCGGTACCACTACCGTACAGCTGGGTGAGGTTCATGCGCATATTTAGATGATGAGCTGAAAGATAAAATCACTGAGATAAGGGGAGGAACTAGACGGACAAGAACACTTGCTGAGCCGCTGCTTTCCCAGCCCAAACGCACTGCCGTAGAGCTTTCACCTCTTTCCATGTCAGTGTCTGTCTCATAGTCCATCTCTCGGATGAGCACTCCGATGGCATGGATGGGGTTTCTGATCTCCTGCAGTTTGCTGTGTATATCCTCCATCACATTTTCCCTGGAAAGTAAAGATAATTAATAATAATATTAATACTAAGCCACACGAGGTTTAAACTCAAGAGGGCTCCCTCTCCTCCCTTAGTGCTCCTCTCTCAGCGTATCTGATCAGCTTGGACATTCTTGAAGGGAATCCTCTTCTGCCTTGGAGTTTTATTACAGTGCCTGCAGGGACCAGTCTATTTATTGCACTCCCCCAGGCTACCAGGAAATAACAGTCGGATAGCTGGCATTCCACAGGGGAATGATTTCAGGAGGTGAGCCCAGTAACCACACGGCTTCACCAAGGCTCTGACCTCTACCTAACGTCTGCTGGCACTTGCTTTCCACGCTGCAATGATCACCTAATAGAAACTTGTTTCTCTTCTGCTCTCTCTCATCTAAGAATCCCCAAAACATCTCTTCAGGAGGGCCCCAGGCTACAGCAAGAGGGTCCTGGATGGAAAACCCTGCTAACATCATCAATACCCACAGCTCCCCGTCTCTGAGGAGACCTGGAAAAGTCTCCTGCAGCACAGGGAGAGTCCGCACATCCCAAACACATTTTGATGCCAAATCAAGGACGGCTCCAGGCAATCCCTGCTCAGCCATCCGGGCCTCCCTGCAGGGGAGCTTCTGCAGAAACATCTCCTTACGTGTCATTAGCTATCAAGTCCTCCAGGATCTGCTCTGCAGCCTTTTCTGGAGGCTGGAGGCGGAAGCAAGCCATTTCCATGATGAATGCCATTTCCATGGAAATTGATTCTCCGATCAGTTGAAGGCACTGGACAAGACAGACAACATCACGAGACATCTCCAAATCTGTAATGAAAGAATCTAACTGTATATTTACAAGAGATTTCAAAGCGAAGGTGGGAGGACCATTCAAAACCCAGTTAGTTCAGCTTCTATCAGCAAACTACTAGTAGCAGATTGGTCTCAGTCCTGCATGTCAAAGTGACCCTTCCCTGTTAACTACAAAGCCAAATTAATACTTAGGAGTTGACAAGGGAAAGATTTGGGCTTTACTATTTGAAAAGTAAAAAATACTGATGCAACAATAAAACAATGACATTCTCTGCAAGGAATTTTCTCCAGCCACAGGTTGAAAGGAAATAATCGGTGCAGCCTAAGAGCAAAAAAAACCCAAAAAACCCAGAGCAAACGGTTTGGCTTAGCTCTACCGAGCGGAACACACTCTCTTCACAGCAGCTATCCGTTTGCAGCACCACCTCTCACAGCCGAGAGAGGATTTTCACATTCTTAGAAGTGATCTGAAAATCCAGTACCAAGGGGTTAAATCACTGCTTTGCAAGGCAATCCTTAATTTTAAAATTAAGTCACTTTTTTTTTTTTTTTGAGAAGTTTGAAACAGACAGGGCAGGAACTGCTAGCCTCCCAAACCCAGCCCAGGCCTCCAGCTTTCCTTCCCTCAGATCCAGAAATAGCTCAACCAAATGGATGACAGATTCTTCTTTATAAAAATATAAAAAAAAAATCACTCGAGCATGAAAGTGGAGCTCAGGGAACATTTTCCACTGCCTTTTCCCTGTGAAACGTCATTCCACGACCAGCAAAGCATAGAGGGCACTGTGGCGACAATATTAATGACAACTTTTGCGCACACTGGTATTTACTTCCCAGAGACGAGAATAGGCACAGTCCCCCTCCACAGCTTACACAAAAACATTTATATAAAAACTAAGTTTGCAGAACCGGGCAATTGAGCCCAGGGTGCTTAGAGAGGATTAAGTTTCCTTCTCTTCTGTAATCTTTGAAGGGAGTTGTTTACTCCACTAGCAAGACACAGATTGGGGAATTTTATGAAACAGAACTGCTTGCACCGAGTCAGAGTAGATCTTATGGCTCTCAACGGGGACAGCGAAGCCGAGCAAGCACCCAGCCGAGATAACGTTAAGCAGGGTTCGTATGGGGGAGTCACCCACGTGCGCAGAAACACGAGCCGCTGCATCCCGCTCTCTCCGCCAGGACTGGGGACCTGCCAGCACAAATTGAGCTCCAACCTGGCAGATCTGTCCCACAGAGAGCCGGCATGAAGAAGGCACCAGCTAACCGCAGCCTACACAGGTAGTTTGTAAGGCCACAAGGGCAAAGGATCCACCAACACAGGTCCTTGTCACCCAGCAACGCACAGCCTGAAATCTAAGGTTCTTCCTTTTTAAGTTATCCAAAATGAGTCACGGCAGATTTGCAGCCTTGACGCTATTTTATAATTCCTGGCTGAGCACGATGGCAGGTTTTACAAAATAAAACTCCCTACAAATGCGAAAATAAGAAAACTACCTCCGCGTAGATAATTACGGAGTCAGGAGCACTTCAAGAGGCCGCTATGGAAACTCCCGCATCCCTCTGCCCAGAGCTTCCCTGACGTGCAGCGTTTCAGCCTCCAACAATGAAAGAACTCCATGTCTCCTCACTTACCATCAAAGATGGCAGCGTCATCCTCAGTCAGGAGGTGCTCGTTAGAGAGGAGATAGAGATGGTCCACCAAGGAGCAGGGCATGAGGAAAGACAGGGAGCCCTAGAAACGTGAGGAGAAAAATCCTTCTTTGAGCTCTCCAAATCCACACCTCAGTCAGAAAAACTCCTCCCTGGAGATCACGGCTTCAGTTTTGCCGCAGTGGCCAAAGAGCTGCTGCCAATCAGCCTCACCTTCTTCAGCAGGCACATCATGTTGGTGTAGGGGTTCAAGTGCAGGGCCAGGGGCCGTGAGAGCGCTTCTTGGTACTGAAGGCAGCAAGCATAGAACTTGGACCAGAACTCCACCTGCAGCTGCCAAAACTCCTCTGGCGAGCACTCATATTCTGTCACGCTGCCCTGGAACTAGTGGGACCAAAACAAGACTTCAGGTTAATACAGGCAGGGAACCAGAGAGAAAAATTGTAGCGTTCACACTGCCGTCTTGTCTCTCATGACCAGTGTCACACCTTTACATGGTGAAGGTTTAGAAACACCAGTTACGGTCCTCATCCCCGCCACCTTATCAACAAAATGTAAGGCTTTTTTCCCCCCACAGAAATGAATCACACCGCAAACAGCAAGGGGAACAAACCCACAAGAACCATTTCTACACAACCTTAGATAAAGCAGCACCAATGATATCAAGGGCAGCACTGCAGATCTCTTTAAAAACCTCATGCATGAAGACTGCTATAGAGGATACAAACTGCCTTTTTTGGTGAAGTTTCTAGCAACAGTCTAAGCAGCCTCAAGGATGAACCGCAGGTGGAAGGACTGCTGGCTTAGAGAATCAGACATATCAGAGGGAAATCTGGAGAAGTAGGATAAAATGGGGGAAATTCAGATCCAAAAGGACAGCCAGTTGATCTTTCAGATAGGTCCCCTAAACAGATTATCTTCTGGTGTCCAAAATTATGAGCAACAGCCCTGCATGGCGGTGGCCAGCACCCATGCGCCGGGAGCCAAGAACGGGCACTGCGGGATGCGTGACCAGCAAAGCGTGTCCAGGGAACAGGGAGGAGAACACCAGGAAAGAAGAAAGGACTCCAAAAACAGAAGAGGGAATGGAAAAGCCAGGCAGGAAGGATGAAGATTTGTACTTTTTTAAAAAGTCACGTAACTCCTTTGGAAAGACAAAGGACAAAACAAGGCCTGGGGTCACTTTGCACCTCATTTAACTTCACCAAACCATCACAGTACTGAATACAATGGATGTAAGAAGAAAACATCATGTGGAAAAATAAAATAAATCTCACCTCGCTTTCCACGGCTAAGGTAACCTCCTTTTTTAACTCATCCCACGTCAGATCCATGTGTCTCTCAGTTCCTTGAGAAAAGATCTGAAGAGCAGCAGAGTAAACTTTTACTTTAAAGCAACAGAGCTGTCTCCCCAAGGTTCAAGCACCATTGAGTGACGTAAAGCAAACATGAGAGCATCAGCCAGCACTTCTTGGGATGAAAGCATGAAGAAACATGACTGGCTGCTAAATGTGGGGTACACTGATGTACAGCCAGCTTCACGCTTTGTACGTTGCTATAGGCCTCTGTAATGTCACAGCACGAAGAATTAACACGGTCTGAGTTAGTGGAACTTTGGCTTTTCCATTTTTCCTGAAAAGGCACCACATGTTGCCTTGCTCTGCCCTCCACAGCCCTGGAGGAGCCAGAACTGAGCAGGTATATTCTGAGAAACAGCACTACAGCGGGCTGAGTCTCTGTTCAACTGGCTAAAGCAGCGGGCAATGAACAGCAAGCTCAGCAACCTGCTATCCTAACGGAAAACATCTTCTGGAAACCACGTTCTGCCTCCCACCATCAGGACACACAGGCTGAAGTACGGGACAACAGCCACTGACTTGGTTCAGTGACTGCTGACAGGTCTACAAACTATCACATGCAGACTGATGCCCGCCAAAAGCTCCAAGGAATCCCGCTGCCTCACATCTAAAAGGCCAGGAAGGAGGAGCTGAACAGAGAGAGCGCCAAATGCCCTCTCACTAACCTGTAAAGCCTTCTGGATAGCTGCATTTGTGAACCGGCCAGGCATGAAGAGATATTCCAGGTAGGTTTCCTGCAAAGAGAAAGAGACTGCAATTTAAGGAAACATACGCGTCAAGAGGAGGGCATTTAAGACACTGCTGCTGCTCTTCCCTCCCATTCTCAAGCTCATCCCCTGGATCTGTATTCCTTTCCAGCTTCAGTTCACACTCAGACCCTGCTCCAACCTCTCCCCTTCCAACCCCTTAGCAGTTCCCGAGATCAAACACTCCTTCCCGCACACTCCAGATCTTGTTTATTCACGTCTCAAGGTTCTCTCTTGACTGACTTGAAATTCCCCTCATCCCTCAGCTTCTGGTTTGATAACCACGCTTAGCGCTTTAATGCAGTGGTTATAGAGGCTAAGGCTCGTCCCCTTTCATTTGGAGAAATTTTAAGACTGTATCAATATAATTTGTACACTTGAATTGTCTTAATGTTCTCCTGGGCAGAGAAGCGTCATTACTTCTTGTTGCTATTTTATAGTCGGCTCACCCTGGGGTCCTGATCGTGTCGAACCGTCACTTCCTCCTCAGGCAGTGGCTGCACAAACACCTGGTTCCACTGGCCCGCAACATTTCTGGAAGAAAAATAAAACCAGAATCAGCTCTGCATTGCAGTGCTCCAACACAGCACACTGTGGAGCAGACACCTGAACCAAACCTGCCACATTTTCACCAGCAATCACAGACTTTAGAACAACTATGGCCCTTAGATCTGGTAACAGAGGAGCTTTCACTAGTGACAAGTGACAGGAGAACGTAACGGCAGCATTCCCAGCCCTGAGCTAACAGAACAGGTTGGATTCCTTAATTTATATTGACGTTCTCCCCATCACATGTGGTCACCAAACAACTCTTAGACCAACCAGCAGATTCTTCTGGCTAAACCTACACAATCACAGCATTTTTTTTTACCCAGAATTTAACTCCCTGGTTTGGTTATGCACCAAGCCTGCCCCCTCAGCTTTATAGAGCTGATGCTTTCACATCACTGGTCTCCTCAAAACACCCTTCTTGGAAGAGACCAGCTGGTTATGTTTTGAAGGAGCTGTCGGTGAAGTACAGCTCTCACAGCAGACTCCACTCCTGGCAAGCCCGCCACTCGGCTTTTTACATTTTTCACATTCCTGCAGCTGAGCTGTCGCTTTACTATAAAGCAAAACAACAACAACAAAAAAAGAAATCCATGTAATCTGCACTGCAGGAAGACACAGTTATGCACGAGACACGAACACCGCAATAGGAAGAACTGGGTACCGCTGCATCTCTGCACACTTCAGTCAGCGAAGCAGGGTAGGAGAAGAGTCGAGGAGCTCAATCGGTGCTTTTAACGAGCAGCATCTACCCCCACAAGGCTATCAACACTAACGATTCAGTGCAGAAACTCACTGCTCAAAGTTGATGTATTTCACAACAGTTTGGTTCTCCTCGTTGTGCCACAGCGCCCAGATCTCAGTCGAGGTTAAGGCAAAGTCAACGAGAGTCTCCTAGGAAAGAGAGTGCATGTTTACCTTCTTATCAAAAACTCAAGTAGAGCAGAGAGACGAGTGTAGTTAGCAGCAGCAAAACATTCCCTTGTATCATTTAACTATGCTTTGGTAAGAATCCTTTATTCAGAGTTAAATCCCCACAAGTCCAGGCCTCTGATCTCCCAGGAAGCAATCCTCCCTCTTGTCTCAGTGCCCTCTGGGGCAGCCGGGCCCCGGCACTCACCTGCGAGGAGAACAGGGAGGATATGTGGTCAAGGCTGTAGCGGTTGCTCTCGGTGCTCACCAGCTGGAAGACACAGAACTACAAACACACCTCGTAAGTCATTTGCTAAAGGACGGCTACGCTAATAACCAGCATGTCGCGGGGAAGCTCCTCTCTCCGGTCCCTCTCCTTGTTGGATGCTACAGTTACCAGATCCCTACGGGCTGAGGGCAGGAAGGCCGAGGTGATCACACCACGGACCCGAAAAGCCCCGAATCCTCAGGTCACTTGCTACAAACCAAGTTCTGCGTGTTCTCACCAGGGCAAGCAGAGCACTAGCGGGACAGCAGAAGTCGCGATACTCGCTTCTACTTCGCATGTGAATCCCCCTGAGACCGGAAAGGGTAAGCTGTCCAACAGATGAGACTACTCTGTGCCGTCATTCCTGTCCTGCTAAATTTATTATTCACCGCAAGAAGCAGAAGTTCTACAGAAGTCAACATTTGGCAACGCACAACGATGCGTTCACACGGTCCCAGGAGCCCGACATAAATATACTATCAGTATTTCCACGCTTGTAGCTCCTTTTGGACCTTTCCTTTTCTCACAGCACATACGTGCTTTTGGGATCCTACCAGAACAGGAGGTGAACAAGTGAACTAGCACAGATCAGCTTAGTCACACAGGGAGTTCCACTCCCAAGGCAAGAGCACATGTATCTTGCAGCGCTTTGCAAATAAAACTGTTTGTTTATTCAGAAAGTACTGCTCTCTCCAGAGGGTCAGACGTGAAACTTTTCCCTATTTCTTGCCTTACAGACCCAAATCCAAGGGGGAACGATATATTTTCCGTGTAGCCCAAGAAAGACGCATTCAGAGCGAGGAAGGCCCGTCACTCCATACCTGCCCTCGCTTGGGTGCATGCATGTACACGCCGAGGTAAAGCCCCAGGGACTGGGAGAAGGCCAGTCGCAGTCGGTGCCCAGTCCCAGCCGCAAGCCGCAGGTCCCTGCTGACCGGCATGAACTCCAGCAGATCTGCAACCATCAGGCACATTTGATCCTACACGAAATAAAGGTATCAGGAAAGTAGCAGAAGACAAACTCAGGACTGAGAAACTGCCCTTCTCCCTCATCCTTCTGATCAGTCTGCCCAGATCTTCCCCTAAAAGATGTAAGCAAAGCATCCATACGTGTACCTGAACCACTGTTTAGCTTTCCCCATCTCACCTGTGCCCTCTCCCACCGAGCACACGGGCTTTCGGAGCCCAGGCACGTACGATAAACCTTCCCCTCCCTCCTGTAATGCACACACACATTCCAGCGCAGATGAGCCATGAAAGCAGTTGTGCTGGTCGATTAGCTTTGGCACTGATATTTGGAGCAAGTGGCATGCAGCGAGCAGAGGCTTTTATTAACTTCTTGTTGACAAGGAGCCATGTTACAAAGACGCTCTTATCGCTGCTAAAACATTAGAAAATCCATTTGGCGTGCCTCCTCAGCCCTTGAAACGCTCCTGCCTGCCTTCCTGAACACTCCAGTACATCTGTAAATAACCTAACTCTGCCTCTTACCCTACGTGCAAGGCTTTGCTGTACAGAAAACCCACGCGCTTTCCAAACGCAGCTACAAACACACGCCACAACAGTTCTCGCAAATCGCCCTGAATCCCAGCACGTAGAAGCTGCAGCCCCAATTTAATGGCAGATCAAATCTACGCCAACCACCCAGCCTTTGTTCCTTAAGCCTCAGACTATCGCCTGAGTGGTGATGGAAGACGCCGTTCCCCCGAATTCAGGCCTCGCTCACCTTATAGGACCACATCCGAAGTTTATGGTCCTGGCAGAGAGCAAAAAGAAAGGCATCGTGATCTAGGCAGTGGACAGAGAGGCTGATGGGCAGGTCCGATGGGCCACAGTCACCTCTGAAAATACAGAGTTCGTTTCAACAGCTTAAAAGAAAATCAAAGCTAGTGCATAGATCCGAGGCACAGGGTTTCTATCACGCTGCGTTTAAAAACAAATCAGCGGTGCGAGATCAGGAGGAGCGAGCAGCGTTGCAGGACGGTGTGGGCCCAACACAGCAGTAACACCCAGTTCTTCACCTGCTTTGGCAGAGCCAAAGCGCATCACCGGCTTTCCCAGCCCCAGCCTAGTGCTCGCAAAACGCGGGCAAAGGACCCAGAGGGAAGCAAGGATCCAACCAGCCCCAAGCAACGCACCACTGATGGTCAAAATCATTCAGGGTGTCAGGGGAACTTGCTCCCATTTCCAAGTAACAGGGCCTAGAATTTGGTTGTGCGCTCTAAGATACCGTAACGATTACGGTAATTAATTAATCCAACACCGAGCCCAGTCTGCAAACAGAGCGTCCGTGTCATCCGCACGTAACCTCTGCCAGTCAGGAATGAGCCTGACATTTCAGAACAAGGGCAAGAACATACAACTGTTGTAATCCTTAATCTGCGCTGGCCGTGAGCCACATCCTGGGCAAATCCTTTGAGGCCAATTACTAGATATAACATATTTGTAGACACAGACACACAGAATCAGCAGGAGCCCATTAAGATGAACTAATCCAGTGTTCAAGTCGCAACTTCCGCACTGTGATAGGTCCTGTGACCCAGTCAACTTTTTTGGCAGAGTATTTATAAACGCTGACTTGTCTGTCTTTGACTTCAGCTAGAAACTCTAGGTGAGAGAATCAAAAAGACAAAATTAATTCCACTAATTCGTCACCGGGCACTAACCTGATGGCAGTTGGCATCCAACCGGTAAGGAAACGCTGCATCACTGAGCTCTGTTTCAATTCCACAAGTGAAACCGTTCCTTGCAAAATAAAAGCGAGATTAAGAAATACATTGAGTACTCATTGACAAAATATTTACCGCCAACAGCAAGGGGCTTCGCAGGCACGATGTAAAAAAGCTTTTGGATGTGTGGAGTGGAATTTGTACGACACAGGCCAAAAATCCATCTCAAGCGAAGTTCAAAGTTAGGAGAGAGAATGCCACGCTGAGCGGTGTTTTGCGAGGAGGCAGCCTGTTCCCGCTCCTTACCAGGCGCGTCGTGAGGAGGCAGCTTAAGGACGAAGATCCCCCCCGAAGCAGAAGGCAGAGCGAAGAGAGCCTCCCCCTCGCTGCTGAGCCACGCCGCCGAGGCGACAGAGTTAGACGCCAGGCCAGGCACGCTGGGAATCACGTAGTAATTCGAAGGATCTCTGAAGTTGATTTTGCCAATATCTGTAAACACGGACTGCATTTGGCTCTCTGTTATCAGCTCCTGGAGGAGGGAAACGGCAGAGTACAAATCCTGAGCACACATACACGAGGCACGGAAAAAACAACCAGACACCTGTGGAACGGCAACTGCGATGCTGCTACTTGATAAAAAGGATTTTTCCAGTAAGAATTCTCATCACTCTCGCTCCTGTTTCCCTTACTGTTAACCCAGGACCACTGCTCTTTACGAGCAAATAGGAACAGGATTGCAAAACCTGCAATTTTCTCACAGAATGCTCGCTTTCTCCCCCCCCCCTATATTGCAACACCCCCAAAGGAGTCCCGCAGTCCATCAGCTGCTTCAAGACAGCTCTTAGCCAAAATACTGGTAATGAGTCCCAAAACTGAGGAGAATCTGACAGGATCCAGAAACACCAGAGGGTTCCAGCCCAGGGTACAAATCCCCACCAGAGAAACAGATCGGTCGTGGTGCACGGACCCAGCTGGCAGGTAATTCTCACCAGTCACGGGAGAATAAGAGCAGCAAAAACTTGTGCATCAAGACCAAGACGGTTTAATAAGTGAAGGAAAGAAGAAAGTGAAGAAAATAAAACCAAACAAAGCGATGCCAAGGCAATCCCTCACCAGCCAGCCCCCAAGCAATGGTCCCGTGTCCCAATCCCCTCCGTGCCACCAGTGTCACAGCACAGGGACCGTCCCCTTGGCTGGGGTCAGCTGTCCCGGCTGTGTCCCTTCCCAGCCTCCTGCCCACCCCCAGCTGCTCGTTTGGGGACCAGAGCGAGAAACAGCGAAGCAGCGCATGGCTGCTTGATGAGGGAAGAGGAAAAGAAGAATAAAAGTGAGAAAACTTGGGCATTAAGATAAAAGAAAAATAATGGCTTAATAAGTGAGAGATGAGCAGAAGAAGAGAGAAGAAAACAAAACAAGGGACACAAAGGCTGGATAGACCGTCACCCAGACGGTTCCTGAGCAAAAGATGGCTAACCCACCTAAAACCCTCTTTTCTCTTTTATTGCTGAGCATGATTTTACACAGCAAAGAACACCCCTTTGGTTAGTTCTGGTCATCTCCCTGGTTGTGCCCCCTCCCAAACCACTGCACACCCCCAAATCTATTCACGTGGGGAGCAGAACGGGAAACAAAAAAGGCTGTGCAAGCACTGCTCAGCAAAAGCTAAATTATTAGTGTATTATCAACACTGTTTTCGTCACAAATCCAAAACACGGCACCACACAACTTACTACAATAAAAATTGACTCTGTCGCGGCCAAAAGCTGTACGGGTGGGAAACAGCACTTTGTGCCCGTGCTGAGAAGCACTCCAAGGCCTTTGCTATTTTGCAATGCACTTAGCAGCTTCGGTGAGGGCTCTCGAGGGGCAAGACCAAAGCAAGTGACTGACCCAGGCAGGGAAAAGCCACCCCGTTACTCACACTGCGATACATGCGGGCGGGATGCGGCAGGAGCAGGCGATGTACCGTCTGCCCGGTGATCAGCAGGACGACCAAGTGATTCTGCACCTCGCAGAGGTGAACACCGCCCGGTAGTAACGGGCAACCCTGGATGTGGAGGCGTACGGCGTT